CACATTTAATTTATTTTGAATTGATCTTTGCATACTTCCTCTTATATGAGCCCATAGACTATGGAACATATTTTTAATGTTGTAATAAAAACACTATATTGTRAACAGGTTGTATACAGTTCATTTGTTTATCCTACTATGCTATGAAACCCCTAGTGTGTTTATCTTTGTCTCCCAAATATATAGCACAAAGACTGGAACATTTTAATTATTTAACCAAATTATTTTTTATATAGGTGAATGAATGAATAATGACAGTCAGAAGTACATTATATCTTCCATTTTCTCTTTTTCTCTAGAGGGAACAGGAATGGTAAACATTCATCATACCGACTATCCYATCCTTTGGTGTGGCTTCTTTATTACACAATACACTCAAATACACGCTATGTCTGACAGAGGGTGCATTAGAGTCAACACTTCTGACTGGGCCCAATTGGTTAGAAAAMTGCCTAGTTGGTGAAGGAGTTGCCCAAACTTTAACAAAACCCTCCTGACTGTTTCTCTCTCAGAGGAGATTAACTGCATCTCTTAGCAGATGTGTGATCTCCTCCTTAGTGTCAGCTAGATTCATTTCAGGTTTTATTTTGATAGGGCTTAGACTAGCAGGCAGCAAGAACTGTCTGTTTATTAAGGGGTTGCCAATGTTACTCCTTCAATGACTGTTATATAATATGTATCCCCAAATCACTGGGTTCAGTTAATTTTCATCATTAGCTCCTATACCAGACATACCATATCTCCCTAAGGTGTCTGCAGAGAGAAAAACCATCTGCTTCAGTCCTTTCCATAAATTCTTCATCGCCTAAAAAACTTGTGGGGATCTCAGAGGACAGGGCATCTTACTGAAGCTTGGAAATTCTAGGGGCCAGTATGATCCAGATTAACCTCAGATTCATTCTTCTGGGGGCCAAAGAGGATGGGAGAGAGATCAGGGTAAAAGAATCCAACATGCAGAGGTACTCCTGACTCACTGTGGCTGACATGCTTTTAATTCTGGCTCTTCACATTCTCCTCTAAGGTCTTGGTACAGTAGGAAGAGCTTGGATCTGGGTGTGTTAGAATGATTATAGGAACAGAACCAAGAACTATGGGTTCTGGTTTCAACTCTGCTCACAATTGCATTAAGTAAACATGACCAGATATTTTGTCATCCTAGGTTCARTTTATACAGATGTAAAATGAACACAATTAATTTTTTTTTTTTAGCATTTGGCATCCACACTATAAGAACTCCATACCTTTAATTTTATCATATTTCAAACTATTTCAAGCTTCTYTCTTTAGTCATCACCACTGTAACTGTTACTGGGTATGGTACTGATAAGTCAATCTGGATGACTGTTTTCCCCAGTTCCCTCCCAGTATGGCATTTCCTGTTGACTCTGGACAAAGGAAATATTCCCCTTAGGCTTGTGGCAACCTTTTGGTCTAGATACGCATGTAAGGACATGGAGAGACGTGACATCCCTCTGAAAGTCATGGGAGTCACTTTGCTCCTCCCATACGGCCCCTCCTGTAAATTCAGTGATGTTAGAGTAATCCCCCAGAGAAATTTAGATTCCCTGTACACTGGAAGATGTCTTTTTTCATGGATACAAAAATACTCAGTGTTCCTCCTAAACAGAGTAATTTCCTTAGTGTCAACCTGGCTTGAACAGTCCCAACCTTCTAACTATCACTCTTGTCCAATTCTCCTTCCTCCTATGGTAGACAAAGAGGCATTAAAGATGCACCTTGTTTCACACAGAAAAAGGAAAGAATATAAATTTCTAAAGTGCCTCTYGGAGTACTGAGTACAACCTGTGTCGATCCACTACACCGAAGAAGAAGCATGAGGCCTGCTTTGTCCTACTCCTGCTCCTGATCCATGAGTCACACCATAGCTCACAGTGGACTCAGTATTCTGCTCTGACTGAGAGCACCTGGAAACTTATTATCTTGAAAGAAACTATCACAAAATGGTGTCTGGTTGGTGTGACCCCTTCTGGGTACAGGGGTGGCTTCCAAGCTTCACCAAGAAGAGCCTATGGGAGCAAGGCCACAGGTTTYGGACCTACAAGTCCAGTTCAACTTGCTCTGTTTCCTAATTAGAATCAATGTACCATCTATAAACTGTGCCAGGCTTCTCAATGGGAAATGGAATAGGGAATGATTTGGATGACTCTATGCCATGGTGTAAGGAAATGAATGTCTTTTTGGATACTTAAGCACTTTCCATTTAATCCTCATAACATGTCTGTGTGGTAGAGTGATTAATAATGCCTTTTCTTTTTTTAATCAGAGAATGAAACTGAAGCTCTAAGAGTTTAACTTGTTCATAAGAGCAAGGAATAAAATCCACGTGTCCTCTGACTCCCAAGTCTATCTCTCCAATACAACATGTAATTTCCCAAAATATTTGCTGTGATTCAAAAGGCTTATTTTTTAAAAAAATATGAGTAGTAGATGATAAAAAAATTTCCAGTAGCTGAGAACAAAGAAGAGAAATAAATGTCATTAGTCAATACCAAGTAACAACTCTTGATTCAGTATCAATCTTTGAATTTTATTTATGTCTGTTTTGGAGATATGTTTTGTTATATTCAGAACAATGGGAATAAGTAAGCTTGAAGCTAACTTTTCTTCTGAATATGATCCTGGATAAATGTTTGCTAAAATCTCCCTCCACTAATAGTATTTGGAAGGTATTAGGAGGTCCTAATCTTGTCCTTCCCAAACTGTCTGCCTCAGTGGATGATGCTCTGGTGACTCTGGAGAATTGACTATATCCATCTCTACCCGACTCTGTTATTCACTGATAACTGCAGTGGCCKTTGGAATTGGTCATAATGAGAGCATTACACCATGGAAACTATACAAACTTCCCTTTCCCTGCTCCTTGAGAGTTTGTAGTTAGGCATTTACTCTTATAGATCTGACCATCATTCTTTATCAAAGATATCTGGTAATCAAAACTGACAGTATTTCCAGAACAGGTTACTATTTTGAGGAATATGATTCTACAGTATGATGTCAGGGCTGTTGAAAACTGACACAAAGGACATGATGTGCAAAATATCCCAGACTACGGACCAAACTATGAGCAAGTTTTCAGGGGTTTCCAGAAACTTGGAAGATAACTTCTTTCAACTCCCTTCAGTATCTCCAGGGAAAGTCAGGAATAATTGTTAACTAGAGAATGTCAAATAAAAAGAGGAAAAGGGGAGGAAGGGAAGACATATTTCTCAAGAGAAACCTTTAAACTACCCTCCTAAAATATCTTCAGCATTTCATCTATCATCTCAATATGGATTTTATATAAAAAAGTAACAAACTTTTAACAGATGTACTGACCTAAGGCAATAACTGGGAGGGGCTGATCTGGTCAATTTCTCAGGATCCTTCAAAAAGACCTCTCTGGACTTGTATGCTCCTTTCCCAAAAGCATATAGCTATTACTCTTATACAAAAGGCTGATGGGGATGTAAAACAATGCAACCATTTCAGAAAATTGTGTGTGGCAGTTTCTAATATTTGTAAGTATTYAATTCAAGAGTAATAAAAATTGCATATCCACACATTTACTTCACAGCCCCAAACTAGAAAAACAGTACATTTGTTGTATATAATCAACAACAGGATATTCGTGGTATAGTCTCATATTGGATTAAAATGAATGAATCATTGACACAATGACAAGGGTGTATTTCAAAAATAATAGTTGAGCAAGAGTAATGCAAATGGTACATACTTTATGATTCCATTTCTATGAAATTCAAGATCAGGCAAAACTAATATATGACGACAGAAATCAGAAATGGTTGCTCCTGGCCTGGGGATGGAAGGATTGACTCTGGGAAAGGTATGAGAGAACTTTCTGAGATGAGAGAAATATTCTAATTCTTGTTTGAAGTTGTGGATATACAGTTGTGAAAATCCAAACACTTAAGATACATTCTGAGCATTTTCTTAAATGTAAATTAGAATTCAATCGAAATACCGATGTAAGCACATTGAAATTATGAATCCAATCTACAGAGTCCATTGTCCCTCTCTGGTCAGACCSGTGGCTAATGACTCACACTTTCTCTCAGCCTTTCTCAGACGTGCACTCCAAGCTCCCGAGATGAGAGGTGGATTCGAGGCTTCCAGGATGCTGTGCTGCAAATTGGGAATATTGAGCAATCAGTCACAGGTCATTTCCCTTTGGCTTTCCGACTTCGCTCCACGCACTCTGGTCATCCCCTCTGGCTGCAGGAGAAAGTTTGGGAGGCAGGTTGAACTTTTCAACTTGGTGGGGAATTCCTCTCCCCACGACACACTTCGCAGCCTGGGCCGGGTGGGGGCGGGGTGGGGGCGTGGGGGTGGGGGCGGGTCACCGCCCCGCCTCGTGAGTCAGCGGCCCCCCGTGGCTCCGCCCTTGCGCGCTCTGCCCCTGGGGGGTCGATCGGACGCTCGCCCCGCATAAAAAACGGCACCCGCTGCCAGACGGTGGCACGCCGCGCACCTCGGTCCCGCCTGCGCTGTGCTGGGACGCCCAGTCCCGCTGCTCGCTTGGACCGGCTCGATGGACCCGACTCGCCGCCTGGCGCTGATGTTTTTGCCGCTGCTCATGATCGGGGCCGCCCCCGGCCGCCTGGTTCAGGCGCACATAGGTATCCGGCCCGGTCCAGAAGCCGTTCTTGGCGCCCGCCGTCCTGGACCCTCGGCCGGCTCTCTTGGCCCGGCTTTCCCCCGTCCCCCTGCTCGGCGTCCCAGTTGACAGTTGCTGGGACCCAACTCCCCGGGACCAGGGACGGTGTCTGACTCCCTCCCCTCTCCTCTGCCCTCCTTTTGCCCCCTCATAGGAAATAACGCGGAGATCTGCCTCCTGCCCCCCGAGGAAGGGCCCTGTAGGGCCCGAATTCCCAGCTACTACTACGACAGGCACACGCAGAGCTGCCGCCAGTTCATCTATGGGGGCTGCAAGGGCAACGCCAACAACTTCGAAACCTGGGCGGCCTGCGACGAAGCTTGCTGGAGGATCGAGAGTAAGTGCCTGGCACGGTCCCTCCCTCCTCCCGCCCGCCCGCCCGCCGCGCCCCCGACGGCTGGGGCCRTTTACACACTCTCCGGATCTCACTTCTCCGCTAAATTTTGTCCTRAAGTTCCTCAAATGTCGAGCAGATCCCACTTGGCTTTTAGTTTTCCAAAAATGATCACAGGTCTACAACCTCTATACAGTTTCCCTCACCTAACTGACATCACAATTCAGTGCCCCCGCGGACTCTGGGAGAGAGGTTAGTTCAACTGGGGGCACAAAAAATTCGAGGGAATTAACCGGGCACCGTGGCGCATGCCTGTAGCCCCAACGGCTGGCTCCCGAGGCTGAAGCAGGAGGATCGCAAATTCAAAGATAGCCCCAGCAATTTAGCGAGGCTCGAAGTAATTTAGGGAGGCCTGAAGCAATTTAGCAAGATCCTGTCTCAATAATATAAAAGAAAAAAAAAAAAAAAGGCTGGGCGTGTGGCTCARTAGTTAAAAGCCCCTGGGTTCAAYCCCTGGTACCCAAAACAGAAGGTGTGGGGAGGGAATGTATCAAGTGAAACATAAGTGCTTTTTTCTCTCCTTGAGAACACCATTTCCTTGTGTCAATTATCCAATCTAAAATATTTTTGGTGTTTTCAATTTCTTTTAATTTTAATTTTTTTGGGGGGGGGTGGGTACTAGGACTTGAACTCAGAGGCCATTACTTCTGAGCCACATCCTCAGCCCTTTTTTTTTTTTTTTTTTTTGAGACATGGTCTGGCTAAATTGACTAAGGACTTGCTAAATTGATGAGGCTGACTTTGAACTTTTGATCCTCTTGACTCAGCCTCCCAAATCGCTGGGATTACAGGCATGCACCACAACAGCCAGTCCGGTGGGTTTTATTATTAAAGTGGGATTTAGCTCATTATGTAACTTTTTGTCCTGATACCTAAACTTGTCTTGTGTTAACTGTAGGGATATGGTGATTTACAAAACTCTGTCCAATTTTACTTGTTTKTTATAACTCTTCAAGGACTATATCAGGGCTTTGCCGTTTAAGACTATGAGCAGGGGGCATGGGTAGTCATATAAACATGATTTGATTAACTTTATATGTAGAAACAACCAGAGAACAGGGAGTCTTTCCTCTGAACTTCAAAGATACAACACAAGTCAAATCCGAATATACTCTTTAAAACAAGTCAAATCACTAGATTAATGGACAGTATTCTGGGGATTTACTCTTCCAGTACTAAATGATTATTTTCCCCCCAATTTGTTTTCTTAAATCATAGTAAAATTTTGATTGATTTTACTTCATATGGTTGAAAGAGCAAGGTCTTGTGTATGGTGGATAAGCACTCCAACACTGAGCTGCATCCTTAGTGCCTAGAAGGCTACTTTTGACCAACATTGTTTTATTGGCTTTTTTTTTCTGTAGAAGTTCCCCACATTTGCCGGTTGGAAGTCAATGAAAATATATGTGAGGAGCCCAGAGAAATGTATTTCTTCAATCTAATGACCATGACATGTGAAAAATTCATGTCTGGTGGTTGTAACCGTAATGAAAACCAGTTCTCTGATGAAGCTTCTTGTATGGACTTCTGTGCACCAAAGAAAAGTACGTACTATGTTTTATGGTATTTCTATTTCATTTTTCTATCAAGACTTTTCGATGGAAAAAAATCAATATGTTGATGTGAAATTAAGATGGTTTGGGTCCTGGTGATTTCATATATAATGTAATATCAACCTCAAGAATGCTTGTCACGAGAAAAAGTATTTTGTCCCCATTTTTACTTTTGAGGATATAAGCTAGAAGTTAATGACTTGCCAAGTTCTCAGGGCTGGTAAGTGATGGAGCTATTATTCAAACTTTTGCTTCCTTTTCTGTGTTGTCTCTTTAAAACCACTGGTTGAGCATGTCTGATTAATCCAAAACTCTGAAATTCTAAATACTTCATAATAGGAAACTTTTTGAGCACTGTCATGTTATAAGTGGAAAATTCTACACCTGACCTCCTGTGATGGACTGCCTTCAAGAAAACAAGACACATTAAATAAAATATATAAAATTACCTTTAGGCTATGCATATAGGGCATATATGAAAAGAAGTGAATCTCATGTTTGGATTTGGGTTCCCTCTTCCAGATATCTTATGTGCGTGAATGTGTGTGAAAATAGTCCAAAATTCAAAGAAATATGAAATCTAAAACTATTTCGTGTTTCAAGCATTTTGGATAAGGAATGTTCAACCTGCATTTCTCAATTTATATATTAAAAATTATAGTATAATCTAGAAGTTAATGATTTGCCAAGTTCTCAGGGCTGGTAAGTGATGGATGGTAAGCTTTGTGTGGAATCAGGTTTGCATATGAGACAGTGGAATATATACAGACTTCAGATTTCAGTTAGATTTCTGTATTCTTTAGGAATTACAAATTGCTTCACCAAGAGTTCTCTATCCTTTTCCCTTTTTCTTTTTCTTACAACCCACATCCTAATCCTCAAACTCATAGGTGACTTGGTAAGTATTTTAATTTTGTAGAAAGAAATAATACATGCATTTCTCCCAGAAATACCAAAGATACATTCAGTCATCAAGAAATTATGCTTTGACAGAGAATTTGATTAAGCCATGTAGCTATAGTGTAGTAAATATGCAAAAGGGGGAAATGGTTGCTGCTGATGTTCTCTTAAGTCATTTGTGTAGATGTTGTTGTTCCAATGATTGGTAATTGGGAATATACACACACACTCACATATTGTATATAATCTTGATTAATAATGGAAGGAGAGCTGATAAAAACATTTAAAATAAAACTACCAACACAAGAAAGTTCACCAAAGTATGTCACGTTTTATCTCTTAAAACTTAGGGAATTTTTTTTTTACTTGACCATGTCTGGTTTAGGCGTTTAATTTCTTTTCATATTTAAAGGATGAAAGACATTCAGAAGGAATTCTGTCAGTTTACAAAAATTTAGAATCATCAAAATATGGCACACAAGTTTACCTGTAATTTGAGACTTATCTTCTCAAATGGCTTAATATGATATTTTGAATTCAGAATGAAGCCTCTTTGGGATTAGATTACTTCAGTAGTCATCACCTTTTATTTTTGTATTTTAGCATTTCTAATTTTATTTTCTTTTTCATAAAGGTCCAATATTTTGCTACAGCCCAAAAGATGAGGGTCTGTGCTCTGCTAATGTGACTCGCTATTATTTTAATACAAGATACAAAACTTGCATGGCTTTCACCTATAGTGGCTGTGGAGGGAATGACAATAACTTTACTAACATGAAGGATTGCACACGTGTTTGTGCAAAAGGTAGTGAATTTTTCTTACTCAGTTTTTAAATAAACTTTATAAATAATTCATAAGCAAAATTATATTTTATGTATCCATTTTACTAATAGAAAATTGCCATTTCTAGACCAGTTCTACATAAAGAGCACTTAACGTGCTGATCTATTTTGTCCAAATGTTTATACTGGACAGTAGCTGTATACTAGTATTTTTAAAGGAAGAAGGTTATAAACTGAGTGTATAAGGAACTTAACTGAATTTTTTGTCATCAATAAACATAAGATATCTTGAGGTGAGCTTTGAAGCATGCTGGCAAAGGTGATTTAAAGTGAGCCTGCAGACGAAAGACATATGTTGTTGATTGTTATTTTGTTGACTTTAGCATTGAAGAAGGGGAAGAAAAAGAAGATGCCAAAGCTTCGTTTTGCCAATAGAGGCCTGAAAATTGAGAGGAAGCAATTTTAAGCATTTTCTTGTATGTCATCCTATGAATGGTTATTGTCTTTATGGTTCTATCTGAAGAATAATATGGGAGCATGAGGAAACAAATCAATAGTGATTCAATCACAGTTTTTATTGAACTTGTATCAATCAAGTTACTTCTTTATACATAACTTGCTGCTATTCAAATGTTAACCTGTTATTTTTAATTTACTGTCTACCTTTTTATAAGATTGAATACTTATAAGATATAAAAACAAATATGATTCACCCAGTTCTTAGGGTTGCTAGTCCTAATTTCAGAAGGTGATAGTAACTGAAGTAACATTAGACAGAATCATGTACTTTAAACATATATAATCATACGAAGAACTGGAAAATACATTTCATTATGAACTTAAAAAATTGGATTGTATATTAAACCCAAGGAGACAAAATTTCAAATTTACCAAGACTTTAAAAATCATTCCAAATAATACTAAAGTAGACCCTACGTTACTGTACTCCCATTTCTGTTGTGTGAGATTGCAGGGTGATGAGTAAGGGGATTTATTTAAGAGATAATACAATAACTTTTGTGACTTAATTAAAAAGCTAGTCAATTTATTAAAATCATAAATATTCTCCTGGGAAAATTATTATGTCTCTGTCTTTTTCTCTGTCTATCCTCAATTACATATATAGTGTGTATACATATAGATAGATGGTCTTAAGTTTTCCTGTTGTTATATTATTTCCTAAGAGAAAATGGGTGGGACACCACTAAAATTGTTAAAATTTTTGTTGTGTTCTTGTTTATATTATACCAAAAATCATGCATGATTTAATAATTTAAATTCCACCAATAAATTGTTTTATAAATAGGATCAATAAAATGAGTTTTTTTCTTTCTCTGTAATAAATTTTCTAAAATTCCTATGTTTTCTTGGCAAAATTAACATATTAAAATATTAACATATTTAAAATTATGCCTCTTATTTAGCAAAATTGCAATTGCATTTGTCCTTTGCTTGAACAGTGTCTCTTTTGAAAACCTGTCCAAGAATTAGTTTTAAGAAAAGTATATACCTAAGGACATTGATTGTTACTGAAAACTGGAAATAAACTAGATACTAATCAATTTGAAGAATTTGTAGAGGAGGAATGAACAAAATATCTATATATAGATAACATCTGATCCCAATACCTTTAAAAAATAGGGCCTAAAGAATATGAATAAGCCAGATACTGTGATGCACACCTATTATCCCAGCAGCTTGGGAGGCTGAGGCAGAAGGATTGTGAGTTCAAACCATCCTCAGCAAATTAGCAAGGCCCTAAGCAACTCGGCAAGATCCTGTTTCTAAATAAAATCTAAAAAGTGCTGGGCATGTGGTTCAGTGATTAAGCAGGACCCCTGGGTTCAATCCCTGCTACAATAAAAAAAAAAAAAACACCAAAACCCCATAATATGAATAAGCACACATGTATACACGCATACAAACATCACAGAAGATCTAAAACCATTAAAAATGGTTACCTGTATAGGAAGGGAGAGGACAGAAGTGGACCAGGTATATGATAAAATTTCTGTGAATATCCCTTTTCTAATTTTTATCTTGGATCAGGTAAATATTTTACATAATGTAAAATTTAAAAATAAAAAGCATTTCTTTAAACCAAAACAATTGATCCACATTTATATCAAATAGTGGCCTAAATACACAGAGAATATATACTTATTTTTCAGTAACTTTCAAAACACATTTTTGAACATATATCTTTTTGGATATATAACCTAAGGGTAAAAAATACTGAAGAAATCTGAAAAAGTGTTTAGTAAGTAGTCTTATCATAATTAGTAATACTGCTATTGTTACTTTCAATTATGAATGGAATATTCTCTATATATTTTTAGAAAACAAGTATTTACTTATAAAATTTTTAGTTTTAAGAGAAAAAAACTATGTAAAAACATTTAAACTGATAAAAATAGTACAAACATTTTTTTTTCTCTTAAAAGTGTTTTTCCAATCCTTCCATTGAAAAGTTTGAAGTTTTGACATATTGATAGCAGCAAGTATATGCCTACCACCGAGACTTTGGTCTCTCGATATTATATCTCAGTGAAGAGAACCAGTGCTTTTCAGAGAAATCTGTTAATACAGATCTGGGCCAAATAATATAGGAGCCTGGGTTATATTACTCCAAAAATCAAGGAAGTTGTCAAAAGCTAATGAGTTGTACCACTAACAGGAGTGTAACATTAGGTAGCTTCTACTGACCTAAAATGAGACTATGTGAACAAGAAATAATGAGCTCAATACATGAGAAAAACCAAACATATATAACTCCATGAGTTCATAATTACACACACGCAAGCACACATGCACACATCTAGAAAACTTTCTTGGTGCTGGACACGGTTGTGCGTGCCTGTATTCCCAGTAGTTCGAGAAGCTGTGGCAGGAGGATCTAGAGTTCAAAGCCAACCTCAGCAACTTAGTGAGGCCCTAAGCAAATCAGTGAGACCTTGTCTCTAGATAAAAACAAAACAAAACAAACAACAACAACAACAACAAAACTGGGGATGTGGCTTAGTGGTTAAATGACCCTGAGTTTAATCCCCAGTATCAATAAAAAGAAACTTTTGATAACTTGTAAGTTTTAAGACATTTTTCTCATTACTTTGAATATTAAACTGATGAATTAACAGAATAAAGCATTTATCCTTTTTTAAAATTTATGCTTATAAACAATACACAGCAATAATATTAGGGAAAGTTATACATTGAATTCCACCTAATATATGCATTAAGAAGTTAGAAGATACCCCTTATGAAAGTTTGAGTCTAGGTGAAAATTATCAGTGGGTGCTGAAACTGTTGCATAGAAGGCTGGTGGGAAACAGTATTATGGGGATCAAGCAACCATTTTAATCAACAKATAATGTTAACATCCATAAAAGTGTGTTGTAGACATTATATGCTTCCTGATAATGGTTCAGTAAGAAGTGGAAATCCTCCACAAGATATCCTTGCAGAAAGAAAAAAAAATATCAGACTATAGTCAGTCAAACCTCTAGATCTTATAATCATATCTCCAGATTATCAGGAAATACTGGAGATTATAAGAAGTATAAGAAGTCAGAGGAAAAAATCTGCCAAATCCACAATGGTGTGTCAGGACATATATACAGGTTTCTTCAAAATTTTTTCAGTCAAAWTTTTTTTAAAAAACAAAGGGGAGGTAGTGCTTTTATAGAATGTGTGACTTAAGAGTAACAAAAAGCAGCATGCCATTGAAAGGTTTAGGTTGAATAAGGCCTGTGTTTATAATTATTTTTGGTGGGTTTAGAGAAAAATTATAGTACAAGATTTCTTTGTGTGCTTTGTGGTTGTAGACTAAGTGATATCAAGCCTTTGAGGATTTGGGGGGCTTCTGGAATCTCCAAAGAGAACCCTAATTTGGTATTTCAAATACCAAATTTATGTGAAGGAGATCCTCCACATAAAACTGCTTGAATCCCCAGACCTCTACCATTTCATTAAATATGTATCAGATATCACATTGTACTCCATAAACATACAATCATTATTTATCAATAAAATTTGAAAACAAAAATAATTTTTAACGTAAGAGGGAATAAAGTATATATAAAGCAATCATAGGATATGCTGCAGTCAAAAGGAAATTCCTTCTCACCACAAAAGCATAAAGACAATTAAACTACTGTGGTTTTACCAGACAGCCTGATTAAAAGGAATGTCTCATTCTTTGACCCAAAAATATTTTAAAAAGCAAGAATGGGGGAGGTATGGGAGTAACTTTTAATGAGAAAATAATCTTTTCGTGTCTCTTTTACACACACACACACACACACACACACACACACACGACATTAAGTCATGGAAACTTCAATGGAGACTTCCACACCATCTGGATCATGGTTCCCCCAAGTATCATCCTGTCTCCACTAAGTCTTAAGCCTTGTTTTACCCTCTAATGGAAATCCTCCACAGTGTCTGTCCCGGTATGATACAGGGGCTGTAGAAATTTCAGCTGAGTTATAACCAGAGGTAAATGACACTTGGGAGTAGACCTAAAACAAAATAATTAGAAGGATGCATATTGATCCTTCTTTGGACCCTATGATCTGTAGACTGCATTATGGTTTGGCAGGTACTCCCATTTTTGGTTTTATTTTACTTTTGGTACTGGGAATCAAACTCAGGGCCTTGCACATGCTAGGGAAGTACTCGACAGCTGAGCTATACCTCCAGCCCTTTTAATTTTATTTTGACACAGACTATGTTTGCAAGACTGGCCTTAAATTTGTGGTTCTCCTACCTTAGCCTTCATAGTAGCTGAGATAGCAGGCATTCATCATCATAGAATGCTAGGAACTCATCTTTACAAGTTTCTTGTTTCTGATAAAATTAGGTCTTGGGAAAAAAAAATAAAATGGGAAAAGCACAGTTGTAACTTTTAAGATATCTATTATTATATACTTAGAGACAAGCAAATATTATCTAAAACTCCTTCATTTCTCTTGACCTGCATATTCAATTATTCACCTAATATATGTATTTAAGTCTATTCTAATCCTCCTTATTTTATGCCAGGAAAATGTTTTTTCTTTCCTCCTTTGTCTGCTCCATATCTTGGCATTATTGCCAGGTACTCTTTCTGGGGAAAAAGAAAATCTGCTCAGGTTACTTGTTTGCTTAAAATTTATTGGTGGTTTTCTATTAAATGTTTGTTTAGTCTCCAAGCCTCTAGCGTGTCATATAAACCTTCTCATGAGTGGTCCATGACAGTTGTTTCTAGATTCATCTTACCCTATTTCACCATCATCTGTAACCCACTGTAATTTGGAGTTTAGTGACTCCCAAATATCTGCAGTTTCCAACGCATGTCATACTACTTTACTTTTCTATAATGTGGTTCCCAGTTTTTGGTCATGACAGCCATGTGAGGAGCCAGGTACACAGCATGCTCCTATCTTTTGCTCTGTGCCCGGGGTTTTGATTTAGTGGTTTGGAGATAGTGCTCAAACATGTACTCTGTAAACAATAACTTCAGAAGATTAGGATGTAGACTTGCAAGGTCCTTTGAGAAATATTGTTTAACAACTTACCAGAATTTTTTTTTTCTTTGGAAAAAAAAATCCTCCCTCCTTGCAAATATTTGACAAAGTGAACCTTCTTGTTGACAAAGCATTCCTTGACCTTCTCAAGCAGGTTTTATCACTTATCTTAACAGTTTGGCTCAACCTAGTGCAACTTTTTAGTTGCACTAGTACAGTATTTAATTATTTTCCTAGAACTTTTATTGTTAAAAATATCTAATTTTTTCATGTAAAAATGAATAAGTTATTTTCATTTTAACTACACTATTATATTTTCTGCATACCATATAGAAAAAAAAACACAATCCAGAACTTCACTGTCATATGATTCATCACCACATTTCAGTTTTCTTAAAGTAGAAATAACCTAGCCAAGGAGTAAAAGCACTTTAATGCTCTCATTATATAGTGAAAAATTGCATAACAGTTATATCAATATATCTTCAACTAAGAATGTAAAACTAAGAAGAAATCACTTCTTTGTTAGGACAAAATGGTATTTTTACATTAGTTAATTGGTGTTTCTAAAATAACTACTAGGGTTAAACTTTTTTTTTTTGGTTTAAATTTAAGGTGTACAACAATGTTTTGATAAACATATATAGTGAAATGATTACTATCGATAAACAATTTAACTTACCCATTACCTTTTATACTTACTTATATACTGGTAAGAGCACCTGAATTAAACTTTTAGTAAATTTTCAATATAAAATATTAAGTAT